ATAATTTGTTTTATCAATATGTAGGATTCGAATTTTAAAATTATATTTATTGAAAGAAATTAAATTTTATCGTTTTTATCTTGAAGCATGATCAATTCAAACTAATGTAGGATGAGGATATCTGATAAAAAAAATAGTTATTTTGTCATTTATAAAGCTACTACTTTCTTGAATAAAATTGATCGATCATTTACTTCCGATGCATTCTCTTATAAATGGTGATGCATGGCATTCTGTTTGTGTGCACAAATTAATTGATGCACAAAGACAGGCGGTGTATTTTCTTGGTTTGCCAATTCAAAAAAACTCTTTAATTGCTAATTAAGCTACAGCAACCCCACACGGTCTCCTATACCCGTTGGTTTTTCTTTTTTCTTTTTTTCAATCAAGGAACCGGTTTGGATTCTAATAATCTGACGTTAAGCATTTTCTACACCCTAAATGACACAAGAACATGGTAATTTATTTAAATAGTATACGTTCAATCTTGTAATGATTGCAAAAAACAATTGGATTGAATTGAATTTAAAACCATATGAATATGAGATCTTCAGTCATCTCTTCTTGTTTCGCAACTCAAGTGCTGATGAATATGAATTAATTGAATTTGCAACCTTTTGTAACCTACCCAGCGAACGGATAGCTTATCTTCCCGTCAAAGTTGGTTGCTCGTCTCCAACTTCACCTTCCACACTTTCACTTAAGACCAACATAACCCACAGCCTTCCTCTAGTCAAAAATTCGCTCATCAACATATATATGTACAAAAGAATTATTCATCAAGAAACATCAAAAGAGAAAAAATGAAAATTCAAAGAAAAAACAACCGACTATTAACCTTCTTGTGACATGATCGATTCCAAGTAAATCGTATAATTAAAACCCATGTTATATATATATAGGACTGCGTACTTACAAATCAATAGGAGGAGGAAAAAAAACAACAACTAAGTTTTATTAGATAAAGAAAGATCTACCGTATGACAAAAAAATTCACGTTACACTTAGCCTAAGCCAAATCCTTATTCTGCAGGCCCTAATTATATTTTCTTCTAGAGCATGCTATATAAAATATGAATAAAATACGTCAATTGGAAGATAACCTTAAAAATATATGCTGGCGGGCAAGAAACCAGTTGCTTTTATTTCTTTTTTTAAACAAAGTTTTACTGATCATAGGACGAGGGTGTTACCTAACGATTCAAGGCTCTTAAAAATGGAAACTAAGCAAAAGATAGTGACCCCACAGCATGGAACTGGCGTTGCTTAGTTTGGTGATCAGTAAGAGGCTTTTAAAGAACAATATCCAATTGCATAAAATAACCTTGCTTTCAAGTTATTTTATTTTTTTTTCATTTCTATATGAACATTAACGAATTTATTTATTTTAATTCAGATAAGGAAAGATGTATGTTGTTCGAATCTAACACCCAACTACCCAACTGTACATATATCAATATTGGGCAATGAAACATGAAATCTCTGCAAATAGAACAGCCTAGCTAGCTCCCAAGTCAACCAGCACTATCATTTTGGAGTGCTTGTGGTGCAAAATTATTTTCATTGTAACAAGTAATCTTAACTGTATCAACAGACTTGGTTGACTAATAAAGAAAGCCATAATCGCGACAAGGGACATTGACACATACATGAAAACAAGAAAATGAAGTAATGCATGCCTTGATTTTCTTTGTCCAATCAAACGGTAAATTAATTTTACTTTGGCAGATTATAGTGATTGCTTGTATAATCGACAAGACAGTATGAATAGCAAAATCAGTATATATATATATATATATATAATTACTCCTCTGTCACATAAAAATTGAACCTTTTGTAAAGTTAAATGCTACTTTTTAATTTGTTAAGTTAATTTACCTTTCACATCCAGCCGAAAGCATAAATTAAATAATGAAATTAAAAATTGAAGAGAGAAAAAACACGTCTTTTTAACCATTAAAATAATCTCTCAATGTTCACGTGAATTAGTAAAACTACTCTTGCGAAACAGGTTAATTTCTCTTCACAACATACAATTTTGTAAATTAGGGGAAGAATGCAAATAAATTGCAAATTACTCATTAAATTAAAATTCTCTACATCAAGGTACACGTACCCTCTCTTTAGTACCTTAAATATATGCGATATGGTTAAAAGCTATTAATTATAGCTTGGTTAGAGATAGCAACAGATGTAGTTGGGAGAAAGGAACTTGAAGAGTTAGTTAAATTAAGATTTGAAATAGATTGTGGATTAATTGCATGATTCATTTCTATATATTTTTTAAAAAATTTAATGTAATTTTTTATTTAACAAGTCTCTTTATTCTTTAATTTTTTATTTAATGTGATCACTCCAATAAAATTTCGTCCAATTTTCAAAGTAAAAGTGACAGGTAGACTGACATGTACAATAAAACTAATACATAAAATGACGTGATATAAAAATGACATATGATAATTTTTTTTTTAAAAAAAACAAAAATTAGATATATATCAAAAGCTGAAATCATTAAAAAGAAACTCAAATTAAAAAAAAAAAAATTAGGTATAAAAAGCCAAACTTATATATAAAAAAGTCCTTTTATTCTAACTCGATCATGTTTATTGAGCTGAATTTTCTAGTTAATTAAGTGGGGAAGAATTTTCTTATGTAATTTAAATTACAAACTTTCATTATTTGATTAGAGTATTTTATTTTTATTAAGGATTATTATTTAGAAGTTCCTATTTGTTTAGGATAGAACTAAAATTAATTAGTTCAAGAAGGTTGAACTTAGTTTTCTAGTGGAACTTTCATTAAATTTGTCCTCATTAACAAATATTTTTGAATTCATCCTGCCATAAAGCACCAAAAAAAAAAAAAAAGGAAACAAAAAATTACATAAAGCAACTTTTGTTTGAACAGAGCACAAGGGTTAAAAGCAACACAATTAGTTGAGATTCTTTTAAAGAGCAATGCAGGTGTGCAGTCCAATTCAACAGAGCAGTCATAACTCATAACACCACAATTCATTTCCAGCTATACTTATAAATTATCACAATGTTCTTTTTGGTTGATAAATAAGAATCAATATGTTAAAAAGAGAATGACTCGGGTTGAGAATTTTTTTCTTTTGCTTTTTCTTTTTGTTGTAAAAATATTTTCGAATCATCTTATATATCATTAATTAAAATTATTTTAAATATATATTTATTAGAAAAATTAAGTAAATCTAGATACTAATTTGAAAATTTGAATCTATAAAATCAATAAAGATAATAATCTTTCTTAAACCACTAGGCGGGCAATCCATGGAAGTTAACAGGACCGAGGTTTGATCAGTGACATACAAATATCAATTTATTGCTGGAAGAAGTATCAGCATCTGTAACTAAACATTATATTTAAGTATTCCTTTTGAAAAGGAAAAAAACGAACAAAAAATGAAAACAAATGCTCTCCCTCGACTTGCTTTTCATTTACCTGCGCCTTTAATTAATGGATTGGAGCATCAGTGTGTGGAGTTGCATTATTTGTGGAAGTCAAATGCCAAACTTCTGCTGAATTTCTATCTTTAGAACAATTGTATGTGTGAACGCTCCTTTACACTAAATTGCTTATCGAGCTAACCTGGTCAGCCATATATAGCTTTCAGTGCATTAAACTCCAGACGAGGACATTAGACGCCAGTTGTTATATATTTTTGGATATAAAAAGTCACAAATCTTAATTTCTCCACTACAATTCTTGCCTTTTAATTTCGATCGCACACTACTTAACTAATCAAAATCATATGACTACTTAAATTGACGTGTCGATTTATTTTTCTTGTCAAATTAATTAGTTATTGGTTCTATAACAGACTTATCGCATATGTCAGTAAGTATTAAATTTTTTGCAACATTTATTTGCATACAAACTATTTTTATTTGAAATCTTTTAATTATAAGTTTTATTGTATAATAAAAATAGATCTATAATTAGGCTGATCATACAACTGGTAATGAGTATTATGCTTTTCGCACTCACTGAATCCTCACCACACTTATGTCAAGATTAGCCATCAGATCAAGTATTTTTTATAAATGAGATTAATCAGATATAAATATACTCATTAATTTACTGATTAGTAGGATCCATCAATTAGACAGGATTCAGGATTTTTTTTTTTAATTAGATTTATGGGAATTAGGTCCACTGGAATATATTAGCCCTTAATTATAAATGTTGGACGTTAATTACATCTTACTATTTTCCCTTATAAATCTTCTGTCATCGAAAGGAGAGTTTAGCGTGTGATTGTGTTTAAAAGAAAATTATTACAGCGATTAATTTTGGGGGTCTATACAATTTCTAAACGCTTACCATTTTCTTTTTTATCTCTCTGTTTCGCTCACAATTAATTTTTTTAATCCTTCCTCTTTTCTTATTATAAAATTTATATATCATCAAATTTGAAAATATGCATATACCAAACATCATTAAAAATTAGTTTTAATTCGATCTTAGCTGTTGTTCTTAATAGCTTCTTTGTTAATTTATTTTTATCTAAAAACAAACAACATATATTAATGAATCTACCTAAATGCTATTTACACATATTAATTTGTAATTTCAGATTAATATGAATATTAAATGCTGCTTGATTTGGAAAACACAGAACAAATTTATATATGATTGATTAATGAACAAAAAGAGCTGAGAAAATGTACGTATATGGCAGTGAGGGGATACTTCAAACCCGTATTGGTAGAATGTTTAGTTACAACTGGAAAGAAAAAAGAAAGGCACCAAAAATTAATAGAGTTAAGTGGGCGTTGAGTGACGTGAGTGCCTCATTTAATCCTCTCATCTGCCTCCTTCATTGCCCACGGTCCTTTGCCTTTATATCTCCCATCTTCCCCTCCTTCCCCCTCACCTAATATCATCAACTCACTGCTCTCTTCTCATCTCTCTATCTCTCCCACATTCTTCAATATTTCTTCTCTTTTCCTGTGTTTTTTTGCTGTTGCAAAATAATGCCTCCAACCTTGCCGGATTTCTCTAACTCCGTTAAGCTCAAGTATGTTAAACTTGGCTATCAATACCTTGTAAATCACATTTTATACCTTTTGCTGATACCTGTTATGGTTGGCATTCTCATTGAGGTGCTTCGTTTAGGCCCTGATGAAATCTTGAGCTTATGGAGATCACTCCATTTTGATCTTCTCCAAATTCTGTGCTCATCTTTTCTCATCATCTTTATTGCTACTGTCTATTTCATGTCCAAGCCAAGAACTATCTACCTTGTTGACTATGCTTGTTACAAGCCTCCTGTCACTTGCCGGGTTCCATTTTCTACCTTCATGGAGCATTCCAGGATGAACTTGAAGGATAATCCCAAGAGTGTCGAGTTTCAGATGAGGATTCTTGAGAGGTCCGGACTCGGTGAAGAGACTTGTTTGCCTCCTGCAATTCATTATATTCCTCCAAAACCAACTATGGATGCTGCAAGAGGAGAAGCTGAGCTTGTTATCTTCTCTGCCATGGATTCTCTCTTCCAGAAAACAGGGCTTAAACCTAAAGATATCGATATCCTTATCGTCAACTGCAGTCTCTTCTCACCAACACCATCTCTATCTGCCATGGTTATTAATAAGTATAAGCTGAGAAGCAACATAAAGAGCTTCAATCTTTCTGGCATGGGGTGCAGTGCAGGGCTAATTTCTATCGACTTAGCTCGTGATCTTCTTCAAGTGCATCCAAATTCAAATGCTGTTGTGGTTAGCACAGAAATCATCACACCAAACTACTACCAAGGAAATGAGCGAGCTATGCTTCTTCCAAACTGCCTGTTCCGCATGGGAGGTGCTGCAATTCTCTTATCAAACCGCAGGTCTCACCGATGGCGTGCCAAGTATCGCCTAGTCCATGTGGTACGAACCCACAAAGGCGCAGACGATAAAGCTTACCGCTGTGTGTTTGAAGAAGAAGATAAAGAAGGAAAAGTTGGAATTAATCTATCAAAAGACTTGATGGCTATAGCTGGTGAGGCTTTGAAATCCAACATCACAACTATTGGGCCTTTAGTCCTTCCGGCTTCTGAACAGCTCCTGTTTTTGTTAACTCTCATTGGACGCAAAATCTTTAACCCCAAATGGAAGCCATATATTCCTGACTTCAAGCAGGCTTTTGAGCATTTCTGTATCCATGCCGGTGGCCGTGCCGTCATAGATGAACTGCAAAAGAACTTGCAGCTATCTGCAGAGCATGTAGAGGCTTCAAGGATGACACTGCACCGATTTGGCAACACCTCATCGTCTTCACTTTGGTATGAGTTGGGTTACATTGAGGCCAAAGGCAGGATGAGGAGAGGAGATAGGGTTTGGCAGATAGCTTTTGGCAGTGGATTTAAATGTAACAGCGCAGTTTGGAAGTGTAATAGAACAATTAAGACACCAACAGATAGTCCATGGGCTGATTGTATTGATAAGTATCCAGTTCACATTCCTGAAGTGGTCAAGCTCTAGGCGTCGAGATTGGTGGGTTACTTCTTGTTGTTTGCTAAACTTCTTCAAAGTCTGGGGATTTGCATTTACTTCTCTGATGATCTGTTGTATTCTCTGATTCTCTTTCGTCTCATTTCCCTGTCATACTGTTTTACTCTATATATTTATCATTTTTTTTTTGTACTTTTTTTTTTCCAATTTCTTATGAATTTGCGTAGACATTGGGTGATATGGCCACTTCTTGTATTAATGTCCTCTTGCAAGTAAAAAAAGAAGGGCAAATCAAGATCATTGGTTCTCTCGCGTCTAGGGACAAAAATAATTGCTAAAAAGAGGATTGAAATAAAGAAATTAAGCATGGATTTATGGCAATTGAGAACTGTGTATTTACTGTGGATATGGATGGCAATTGGGCGGTGCGGGCATGGCCACTTCTAAAAAATTTCTCCATTCTCGCCCCGTGTTCTAAACGGAATAGAATTTTTCATCTCATCCTCGCTCCAAGCAGAGACAAAGATCCTCTTCGTAGGGCAAACATGGTAAATTTTTTTTATCTTTTTTTATCCTATTATACTATCAAATTTCAAACTATATATAAAAAAAAGATAATTTATATAAAAAAATAAATCCTAAAAGTCATTAATCATATATTTTATATGAAATATAATTATAATTTTAATAAAAAAAAATAAACGAGGTGAGGCAAACAAATTCCATCCCTGCCCCCCATCCTTACTTGTGGAGGGCCCCACCTTGCCCCGCCCTGCCCCGTCCCGTTTCCTGGTCAATACTGAGAATCCTCGTATTGACCGATGAAAATCGAGACAGGGTTAGGCGAGGGGGACGAGGTAAATTACCATCCCTACTTGTGGAGGAAAATTTGATTAGATTGGCTGCAATTTGGCAGCTAGCGGTATTGTCAGTGAAGAACATAAAGCTTATGTGCCTACAGTTTGGGTTGCACATGCGCAAGTTAGCGCCAAGTTTTAGTATCCTAGAGGCATAAAAATGCCCTATATAAACACTTGTATATACTCAATCTAATTGCGTTCATTCTTAAATTCGTGGCAGGTACAAGTTTATATGCGTGGTGTAATAAATATGTGAATATTTGATATTATGTCAGGCATCATGAAATCAAATTATAATGAAACGTGCGATGGAAGAGATATAAGATAACAGGTTTTCAATTTGAGAGATGTGAAACATAATTTTTTTTTTAAATACATTATTTTAATATGGATAACCTTTTTAAGACTAGATAAAGAAATTTGAAAGTTTTCTCTTTTTCTTTGAAACAAAAAACTCTAAAGAAACCTAACATCACGTAAAGTAGCTCACTAGATGCCATAGATGCATCACACCCGCGACAACATTTCTCCTTTTCATTTTCATAGTTTTAGATCATATTAGTTTTTATTTTTTGTGTCTATACATCTACATTTTGTATCTAAATCTATGTGGCCGTTTATCAATTATTTGTTGTCCTGGCTTGTTGCAAAGAGATTGGCTTTAATTGGCGGTTTTGAATTTTTAGTACGACCCATTTTCTCCGTCTGGCTTGAACTCATCTATACAAGCAATGCAACTAGTCCTATATAGGCTCTTCAGATTTGAAAAGTTTTAGAGATTTTTTTTTTTCTTATTCATGTCACTCAAAGAATCGGATATTGCTAGAAAGATCATTCGTTGATATTGCTAAATACTCTTTAAAATAGTAAGATGTAATTTCTACCATTTCATGTTAATGTGCGAAAATAGTGGTTTGTTTGTATTTTTTTAATATTAAATTGTTATTTTCCTTTTTTTTAAAAAAGATGAAGAATAAATTTATTTTTAATTCATAAAAATCAGATTCGCAGTTATCATCTTAAAATAGAATCGATATAAGATAGGGAAAAAAATCCCTATTTTCAGTGTATACCCTAGTTCCATCTGTGCTGTGATTTTTTGGTATGCCGATGAATATATTGGCTAGTTTTAAAGTGAAATATTAAAATTGTACTTGACATTTATACCTTATTATTATTTTTTTCTATTAGCGTACGAATAGACTTATGAGCGTGTCACAATTTATGTAGTGTTCTTTATTTGGTTTTTATTTCCATTTTTGTTGCTTCCTTTTTTGAGTTTCCATAATTTGTTCTTGAAGATTCCACATTAAATTCTTGTACCTAAACAAGCGGCTATCACTTACCTCACGGGATTTTCCCTTGTTGGCAAGGTGTTAAGTGTAAGTAGTTAGAACCAAGCGGACTACGTTGCCTTTGATTGAGACCTCGCTTGTTCGTCAACGCCAAAGGTTACACAATCATATTACTGGATTGGGACATCTAAACATAAACAAATCCACCTGTACAGATTGCCTAGACAAAATGGAAGTAACTGATATATTTTAATGGCAAAAGAGAATTTAATCTCGATATATGAAAAAAAATATATAAAAACCATGTCATTCTTCACATCCTTGACACAGGCTCCATGTTCAACTCCGTATATAAAAACTGCTTGTGATTGGGAGAAAACCCTCTTGTTAATCCGTGTGTATATACTCAAAATTGTACATAAAAATTAATTAACATTTCAATTAATTTTACTATGTATTAATCTATTTTATTTTCTTAATTTCGATATAGATCTAAACTATACAATAAATGGAGTGAGTTTGTTAGCACCCAATTTCTACTCCAAATAATTTAATTAAATATGTGAGTTTAAAAGAAAATATTAAAAAAAAGAGAGAATTATTTGAAAAAAATATAATATGGGGGTTTAATTAAAAAGAAAAGTGTAGGGACCAAAGAAAATCCAATTGAGAGTATAATTAAAACGATTATGACCCAAGATTTTAATTGAAAGAAGAGAAGGGTACTACCGAGGAAAAAACCAAATAAATCAACATTGAAATTAAAAATTGAGAGAAACCAATGACCAAAATTAATGTTTATCCAAAAATTTAATTTTTTCCCTACAAATAACCAATTCCTTTAGCCATTTAAACTGGACATGGATCCCAAAAATACGAAAAACAAAAAACTTGAAAAACAAAAGAAAACCAAGACAAATAGCCCCTAAGAAGTAGTCGAGCCGAATACCCGTGGGTCGACCGCGGACGTTTCTCTTCCCAAATCGTCGACCCTCTAGCTAATATTTCCTTCGGACACCACCACCAATTGATATCCCACTCCCGCATTCACCATTCCCGACCAGTCGGAGAAGGAGGAGATGTCGGAGTTTGCTTGGAGTTGAGGAGAGAAGGTCGCGAATTTTCTTTTTCTTCTTTTTTGTTAAGAATAGATAGTTTATTATAATTTTTTCAATAACTATTTAAGAAGAAGAAAAAAAAAGAGAGAATATTACTTAATTTGTCTTTATATTTGTCATCATCCCATTTTTACCCCACAAAAATACCAAAAAAAAAACAAAAACAAAACAAAAGAAAAGAGAAAATAAAATAAAAAAATTAGAAAAAGAAAAAGAGAGAGACGAGAAGAAAAGGGGGCCTAGATAGCCCAACCCTTATCGGGTCACGCATCGAGCCCGGATGCTCTAAACCCGGTCGGTTGTCCAACCCCAATGTCCACTAAAACAAAAAAAAAATACCTCAAACCAACCTAGATGGCCTTATAAATAGATCCTACCTTATCCACACATCGACATCTAGAGAAAAAAACCTAGCAACCTAAAGAAAAAGCTAAAGATAATAGCCAAAAGAAGTCGTAGTCACTCCCAACTCGTTGGATTTCGACCACCGTAAGCCATCTCTTCCAATCGTCTAAACAAGACAATCCTAACACCATAAAAACTACCCGTTTTCAACAACCGAGCAAATTTTATCCAATTTGGCCTCCGAATTACTAATTTAGATAATTACACTCCCGCACTTTCGGGTTTTTAATCTAATTTTCATTAAAATTTTATGATTTTGCATGATTGGTTCTTTGTTTCATATGACGATAATGTCAATTATGTGTTTGAAGATGAATATTTTGATGGTTATTGAATGTAAAATGTTTGATTAAAGATGTAATTGAAATATTCAAAATTTTGAATACTTTGTTATATTTGGTAGAATAAAAAAAGGAACTAAATTCAAGATTCTTTGATGTGTGATGTGTTTTAATATTTAATCGAGTTTGCGAATAAGGATTTATGAATTTTTTAAGTTTTAATCTTTTTTTATCTTTGTTTTATTTTATTTTTCTTATCATTATTTTCAATTAAAAAAAAAAGGATTGTTTGGCACATTATGTAGTATCTTTATTTTCTATATAATAAGTCTCCGAGAAACTGTCGATCGATGATGAAGCTAGCAATAAGCTAGCCATTTTTTCTAAAAAAAATATGCTAACATGAATTAATAGGCCAAGGATTTTGTTAAGGCTCGTTAGCAATTTTATCTCATGAAGTTTTTTTTATGTGATTTGTGATTTTTTTTTATTATGTTTAATTTTATGTCTTGCACTTTGTGTGTTTATTTTATGTGTTATCATGTTAATGTAGGTCGATCTAGATGGTGTAGGTTTAGGATATGAGATCAATTTTGTTCCAATGACGAGCCATTTTCTTATTATTTATTTTATTTTATTTTTATTGCTATTGTTTATAGTTAATTTTAATTTATTTTTATGGTGCTACTAATTTCTTTTTCTCATAGATTTAGCTTTGAATTTAAGCTTTATCACCCAATTTAATATTTTAAAGTAGCATGGTAGGGTGATATGGACTCGAGGCTCATGTTCGTTTTTTAGGTTGTTACGGAATTTTAATCTTTTTTTCATGGTTTGATAGGTTTAGTTTATTTCATGTTCGATTTTGTTCCAGGTGACGAGCCAAATCTCCCAATTCGACCAAACCATTGACTTTAGCCATCATAGGACTATTCTCCATTCTCTTAGAAGGTGTTTTTCCCCCAAAATCACAACTTAATGTTGCCAAAATAAGTTCAATCGATGACGAATATCCATCACAACTAGTTTGACACAACCCGACCAAAGCAACCAATCAAGGCCAAGTCGAAC